GGTGTTTGCATAAATAACTTTGTTGGTAGGGCACACGTGATTAAGGAAGCAAAGATCTATTAGCATTACTCCTTTCCTCCTCTTTGCACATATGAAAGGAGCATGGCAGTATTCCTGCCCCTTTAAGAGGACCAGGCATGGAACAGAAGTCACCAGGGGTTTGGGGGAAAGTGGTTGCGAATTTCCTGCATTGTGCATAGATGGCCCTGGATGACCAACTCTATGATTCTATGACTCTAGAACAGAAATAAAGTAACTTGGCCATTTCTGGGCAGACTAAAGGAACAGAGAGCTCCAGGATGGTGGGGGAGAGTGCTGGTAAGCTGTGAGGTGTGATTTCAAGAGTCAGGGGACTCTGTAGCCAAGGAGTGCACTAAGTAATGCCAGGGAATGAGCCAAGATGTCCACCTTAAATGTCACATACAACCATAGTTCAGACAAACCGTGGTTAATAAACCAACATCAAACTGTGGTTTCATATCTTTGGCAGATCCTAATTAACTATATTGCATGGAGTGGCTGGCCTTTGGGCAATCAACTAAGCACAGTTCATTTAATTAAAGAACGATTTGGTGTGGCATCTGAACAGAGCCACCATCTTGGAACTGATATTTCAGTCTATGTGGAAGGTGTTCTAAGGGAGATTTCTGAATATATGGGAAATGGAGGAATTGAACTATGGGGGCACTGGAACAGGTGCAAAGTTGATGGTATGATGGACCCCTGGCACTTCACTATCAGGCAGGTTTTCCCACCAAAAATCTGTTCCCAAATGTGACTGAGCAGCCCCAACTAGTGGGTATTTAGTTATTGTTTTAAAAGTCTGTCCCACCCCCTCATGAAGATCTAATTTGTATTTTAGCCCAGTCCAGGAACTTGATGAGATAAGCAGGAGCCCTCTTTGTTTTTCCTTTCGAATGGCACTTGAGATGATATAACATTCAAACAGAAATAACAGGCAGGGATTGAACAGGTGTAGTCAGGGACTGGAAATACTGAGGTAAAAACTGTTAATACAGATTATCCTTCTTTTAACAATCAAAATAGGGTTGTTGAAGCTTATTTTCCTATATTCTTGGATTTTAACAGTGAGAGGCATTTTGAGTATTTTAGTTATAGTTACAATGTTTCCTCATATAGTTTCTTATGTCTCTTCAGGTTTCCTGGAGATGGTCTCTTTATTTTTGTACCTAAACTCTCCCTTTTTGGAAACCATGGTTTATTTATATTTCCCAAGGTATCTAATTCCAATTTCCTTCACAACAGACCAGAGGTCTCCTCAGAGCACTCCCACCCCCACCCGTGTAACTGGGCAGGAATTATTTTGCCTTCTCCTCAGAAGAGATAACCCTTTTCTTCTGGCCTAAATGGGAGTTTCAGCATACAACCCAATCACCCATGCCGAATTCTCGATCCCAGTTCTGGATCCCAACTGAGCTCTGAGCAGGAGCAGGAGACAGAGGGGTGAGTGGTTTTTTACTTGCTTTCAGCTGAGAGGATTCAACTGAGGATATTGGTGGGAGAACTGGTCTGGGAGTGTGGGGAAGCGCTTGGAGTTGTTGCAGATTCCTGGCTGATTGAGAGAGGGAGAGGAAAGGGCATTGTTTGACTGTAAAGGTAAAGGTAAAGGTCTCCCTTGCTCGAAAGCCAGTCGAATCCGACTCTAGGGTTGTGGTGCTCATCTCCGTTTCAAAGCCGAAGAGCCAGCGCTGTCCAAAGACGTTTCCGTGGTCATATGGCCGGCATGACTAAACACCGAGGTGCACGGAACGCTGTTACCTTCCCACCGTTCCCGGCACTCCAAAGGGGTCTCTGTCAGAATTACTGATTCCTCCCGACTCTGTCAGAAGCCAACTGACTGACTGTCTGACTTCAGTAAGACCAACTGGTCAAAAAACTCCAAAAAGACCATGCCCTCAGCTAATCATATAGTTCTCCTCAGATGACACTGGCCAAGTCTGACTTCAGTAAGACCAAGTGGTCAAAAAACTCCAAAAAGACCATGCCCTCAGCTAATCATATAGTTCTCCTCAGATGGTGATGGCCAAGAAAGGGGGGGGAGCAGCCTGTCACTCAAGTTTTCCATTCCAGTTAAAAGTTAACTCATCACCTCCCAGCTCTCTGAAATTGCTGCACTAGAAAACCTGTTGTTAAGTGCAGTCACAGATAGTACCAAATCTATACCACTATTGTCTATTTTGTATGTAACCAGACTCTATAATTTGTTATTGTGAGTTCTTTTAGCGAGCCTTTTCAGCTTAGAAAACTACTCTCAAAGAACTGCTAGTGTCTTTATACACAAATACATAAACATAATTAATACGACCATTTAGGCCTGAAATCTTGCAGTGGTGAAAATAGGCTTCGGCATACAGTCTATCTTTAACTGCTAGTGTCTTTATACACAAATATATAAACATAATTAATATGATCATTTAGGCCTGAAATCTTGCAATGGTGAAAATAGGCTTCGGCATACAGTCTAGTTGCTTCTGGCCAACTTCACAGAAGATTGAGTTGATCCATGGGCTCCAAGGCAGGTGCTTCATGATCACTGCAAAGGAGTAGTATATTGTAGCAAAATAAAGCAAAAGTCCAGTGGACCCATAAGGACTGTGCGTGTGTGCATTCAAAGTTAAAAGTAAAGGTTTCCCTTGCTTGAAAGCCAGTCGAATCTGACTCTAGGGGTCGGTGCTCATCTCCGTTTACAAGCCAGCGCTATCCAAAGACGTTTCTGTGGTCATGTGGCTGGCATGACTAAATGCCAAGGCGCAAGGAATGATGTTACCTTCCCACTGAAGCGGTACCTATTTATCTACCTGCAATTTCTTAATTTCGAACTGCTAGGTTGGCAGGAGCTGGGGCCAGAGATGGGAGCTCACTCCATCAAGCCGCACTAGGGTCTCCAACTGCCAAACTACAGACCTTCTGGTCTGCAGCTCAGCATCTCAACCTTTCTGTGTGTGTGCATTAAGTGCTGTCAAATCACTTGTAACTTATAGCAACCCTGTGAATTAATGATGACCCGCAAAATGTCCTATCCTTAACAGTAGTGCTCAGATCTTGCAGACTGAAGGCCGTGGCTTCCTTCCTTCAGTCAATCCATTTTATGTGAGCCACAGTCAGCTGACTCAGGCTCACTAACAGATGTCAGTCTGTAAGGTGCCACTGGCGTTTTCTTTTATTTTGCTCTGTGAGGATGAACTGTATCTCATGGTTTCAGCTTTTGGCTCGACTCTAATTTTTTTTGTAATGGAAAGCCCTCATCGGTTTTTAGCCGCCAGACCACGAGCGAGAAGAGACTGTCTGTGTACCCCAAGAGAGGTCGAGTCAGCAGCAGCTCCAGAGTTTCGCCTTTTATCGTTTCCCGCCCTTCTCTTGTCGCCTTCCCCCAGATCCCCGCCTGCTCCCTTCAGACTGGCCAACGCGAAGGCGGAGAACAAGTCCACACACCCCCCCGCCCCTCTCCGCCTCCGCGTTTCTCCTCGGCGCGCCACCCCGCTGCAAGGCCAAGCAGGAGCTGAGGCGGTCGGCGCTTTCCAGCCCGCCGCGTATAATCGCTCCGGCTGGCGGCTTTCGCCTCCGGCACGGCGCTCCCCAACTCCCATCCCTCTCATCTCGGAGCGGCCCCGGAGAGCCGCTTCAATAAAGTCAGAAAGTGCTGAGGAGGAAAAAAAAGTGTGACATTTCTCTCTGAAGAAGAGAAGAGGCCGCCGGTCTCCGCCGCGCGCGCGTGTGCCGCGGGGAGTCTGAGGCGGAGCGGCGTGGCTCCGGGGAGAAGCTCGTCTCGCGCCCGGGCTCGCCACTGACGCTGACACCGAACGCGTTGGCACGGCACGCACACGATCGCCCCGCACGCCGCCTCCTCAGCGGCCGGCGAGGGAGGCGGGAAGCGGCGGCTGGGAGAGAGGGCGCGACGGAGCGGCGTTTGGGCGCGCGAGACTGTGGGGCGGCTGAGGCTCCCCGCCCTGGCCGAGGGACGCGCCCGGCCGCTGGTGACACTCACACAGTCCTCCCCAAGCAGCCGCGGGGCGTCGCAGAGGGTGCGCGAGTGGGCCAACGAAGGCACAAATGAAGTGACGGATAGGGAAGGCGGGGGGGGGAGATCACGCGCGGGGCAAGGGGGCTGCCCGGCCAAAGGGAGACGGCTCAACGGCGCGCGGAGTGGAAAGCCCTGGTGGGCGATGGTGGTGACAGGGGAGGGCGCCGCACGGGGCTCTCGCCACAGACGGCGCCCACGACGACCCTAGGCAAAGCGGCATTGAGGCGTTGAGGAGGGGCGGGAGAGACCGGCCGCTAGGGCGGCATGCGCCACAGTAGGCGACCACTGAGCGTGGCGGTCCTGAGGCGAGAGAGTGGCCGCTTCGGGGACTCACCTTGCCAGCGAAAAGGTACGCAGAGGACGCCCGAAAGGGCGCCGCCGCCTCCACCCCCAGTACTAACCACGCTCGCAAGTGGCGTGGAAAGGAAGGACGAGGCGCCCGGAGGCGGGGGTGCGTTGAGGACGGTCCCCGCCAGCCAGGTACACTCCTCAGCGGCATCTCCCAGTCCCGCTTCAGAGGCGACGGGGAGAGTCGAGCCCCCCACCACCACACACCGCGGGGAACTGTCGGGCTGGCTCTGAGGGGAGGAGGACCGCCCGAAGCCCCTCCAGGCGCTGCAAGCCGGACCGGCCGTCTGCAGGGAGGACAGGGGGGTGGGTGGGACGTGACGGCCCCTCGCCGCGCCTTGTCGGGTGGGTCCGGCTTCACCTGGCGGCGGGGAGACCCTCCGCCCCCCCCCCCGCCGCATCTCGAGAAGGG